ACACTACACACTACACACTAAACGATACACTACATTATACACTACACGATACACTGCACACCACTACACTATACACTACACTATACTGGAAACTACACACTATACTATACACTACACACTACACACTAAACGATACACTACATTATACACTACACGATACACTGCACACCACTACACTATACACTACACTATACTGGAAACGAATTGGCGTTTTGTTTACGCGACAAATCCCTTACTAATTGGCTGTGTCGGGTGGTGGAGGGTTACGACACATTTATACTTACGCGATCTAACCCCCCAAAAATACCTTAATAATGACTAATATTGGGTCGCGAAAGCCTGCCACGTGTTGAGCTGAGTTCTTGTTGACGTTTGTTTACTCTGGGGATGACTTCGCCAAGTCTCAAGGCTCACTCACAGGAGGGTCATGCCAAGTGTTCGCAGTAGGGGGGTGATGCCAACTGCTGCTCCAAGCTGCTCCAATCGAGTAATTTGCATCAAATTCATACTCTTTGGTTCGGTAAAGTCACGTAGATAGAAAATAAAATTACTAAAAAAAATTATCAAAACTAAAAATAAGCAAGAATACAGAAACACGAGTCTGTACGTCGAATGCTGCTTTGACGTTATCAGCGTTGGCCAGGCCAGCCAAGCCCACGGTTGTACTGCACGCCTATGCTCCCAAACTTCACCGACCCGCACTCATCCAGCAGTGGATTAGATAGCCAACGGGAAAGGATGTTTTTTTATTATTATATTTGATGACGACCGCTTGTGTTGCGATCGAAACGTCGTGAGTTTTTGTTTTTTTATTATTTTTATTAATTGTATTTTTCATCTTCTTGGTCTTTCGGTAAAGTCACGTAGAAGGGAAATAATAAAATAATAAAAATAAAACATAATAAAATAATTCTCACGACGTTTCGGCCACAACGCAAGCAGCCGTCCTCAAGTGAAGAACAGGTCTGTCGGGAAGACAGCGTCTACGTGACTTGAAAGAACCAAGAAGATGAATCCCTGCAGTCACGAAAGCTTTAAATTGTATTTTTTCATCTCTGTGACTTTACCGAAAGAACCAAACAATATGAATTCCTGCAGTCACGAAGTTTTAAGCCAAACATTTTCATCCAATTGTTTCACAACAGTGGGATGTTTGGAACAATACCAGAGACATTGCGTGTGTTTGTGTGTGTGTTGGTTTACCTATGGGGGGAACCTTAGAACCCGTAGGAAACGCACGCGGAACAGGGGGTGGAGGGGGCATACAAACTCCACGCAGAGTGGCACCCTAGTCCTAGATTTGAAGCTTTCGTGACTGCAAGGATTCATACTCTTAGTTCTTTCGGTAAAGTCACGTAGGTAAATCAGTGATTTTTATTTGTTTATTCATTTTAATTTCATTTTTTACCTACGTGACTTTACCGAAAGAACTAAGAGTATGGCACCCTAGTAGCCACGAGGCACACGTGTCACCTACTGCGTCGCCAAATGCCCGCGTGCCTCTCATCAATCCGCCGCTGGGACCAGGGCCACTCGGGTCGCGGACATTCTTATTAGACGATAATTCACCACGCGGGGTGACTGACGGTTGGGGAAGCGTAGAAGTGCAGTACAACGCCGGACGTCGCGCTCCACTGCCCTCTGCCGGACAGCGTGCGTAGCGGGTCCTATCAATGCCCTGGCCAGGCTGTAGCACTGCTTAGCTCCTGAGATCTGGCGGGATTGGGGGGCATTCGGGGTGATTTACCCCTGGCGTCTTCATATTTACAAACACAAAGGCACAGCCGCGCAATAGCATGCTCATGCCACTGCTGCATGGCGGAAGGACCTCCACTTGAAGGATGTCAAGAGATCCCCTCTGGACGAGGGTTGTTTAGCCTACTCTTCCACGATGGCCCTGAAGAGTTTGGGAGTAACCCATGTTCTTGGCTCTTTCGGTAAAGTCACGTAGAAGGGAAATAAAAAAAAAACATAATAAAATAATTCTCACGACGTTTCGGCCACAACGCAAGCAGCCGTCCTCAGGTGAAGAACAGGTCTGTCGGAAAAACAGCGTCTGACAGACCTGTTCTTCACCTGAGGACGGGTGCTTGCGTTGTGGCCGAAACGTCGTGAGAATTATTTTATTATGTTTTATTTTTATTATCGTATTATTTCCTTTCTACGTGACTTCACCGAAAGAACCAGAAGATGAATCCCTGCAGTCACGAAAGCTTTAAATCGAGAGTACCCCATGCTTTGCCCCATCACCACACGTCACGCGCCGACTTTCCCTTCGTTGTTATCCCGTCGACTTCCGTGTGCGCACTGCGTGGTGTACATGCTGTTGCTGCCGCTACTGAGTGGACCACGGGGGAAGAGAGAGAGACACACACACACAGACACGTGAAGGATGTTGCATCTAAGTGACTTGCAGTAGCATCTACTTAATATATGTATACAGTATACATGTATACATGAATAATGCATGGACTGCTTGCCCCGTGCGTGCGTGCGTGTGTGTGTGCGCGTGTGTGCAGTGGGGGAGATCTTTGCAGCGGTGCGTTAGGGGACACCTCTTCGTACGGGGTCTTCGGTTGATCGGACACCCAACACCGCTGGAGCCGAGTGTCCTCGCGAGTCTTGGAGGACGGCCTGCGATAGGCTAGCAGTGGAAAGAAAAATGCCACGTGCTTAGAAACGCATGGATTTGGCGAGAGAGGATTTCGCCGAGGAGGTAATGACGATGGGGCTGATTGAGGGGGCTGAGAAAAGGTGATGTTGGTAGCGGTGATGATGATGATGGTGATGTTCTTATTATATGCATCGGCATTGATATTAATGAATTAATTCATTAATCTGATTGCCAGGGTGTTTAACAGGCACAATCATCTTCAGATTCATTGAAGCATGGTCATCTTTAAAATCCATCATTTCATCTGTGATTGCTGTTAGCATCATCATCCTCTCTGTCATCAATTTTAGGGTCCATAATTGTATTTAGCATTGAGCAGACAACATCAACTATAACATGTAATATTGACATCATCATTTTTAGGATCATCTTTGGGATCTTGTTATGTATATCTTATCATCATTATCGCTTTTATAATTTGACGACATCATAGTGCCCGTATCATCATCATCACGATTTTCAATATAATCAGAATTAAATATCATCATCATCAACCATAATAGTTTGCATTCATTCATTCACCATCTATATTTTGTCCTCACGTTGAACATCACACCTCTTTACAATTAATATCCATCGCCATCATCATCACCTTGAGCATACTCACTTTTAATATCATCATTAGCAACGATTAGTATGTTAATCATTTTTAATGTATGTCCAACTTCTTTCGCACCGCTCGTGCTAAACCTACACCATTATATGTAAATCTAATTTGATTATTAACCTTATAGCCACGATTAAGATGAATAACTATTTACATGGTCATAAGCTTTAACTTCCAAATATCATGTTCATGATATCATAATTATGATCTATCACCATAATTTCTAGTTATGATTCAGATACATCGTCATCTGACCTTCACCGATATCCCACATAATCCATATTATCTTTAGCAACTTACTTCATTATCTAATTGCCATTATCACAATGTCAAAGGGAAGCCGGTAGATTTACTGTAATTACCTGACATCACCATAATTGATCAATTACACCACCATCTACCATTCAAATAGATCGCCAGTCATTACATCAAAGATTACAGCATCATCAAGCATGAGTCACAATTACATCTTCATGATCCAGTAGCCACGATAAATCACCATCATCACTATCACCACCATCATCACCCAACAACATTATAATACATGATCAGCCTCATTATGTGTTTTTTAGTCACACATTAGCATTATCGTACAAGAGTCAATCAATACCATCACAACACTGTACATGGACTACAATTTTAAAAGTGCATTATCATCATCTATTAGTCAAGATCAATTACATCACCGCCATCATCGTCATCATCAAAGCTGGAACAAACCCGATAAGAACTTAAGTGATCACACGCGCGCGTGAACACACACGCGCGCACACACACACGCGCACACACGCACACACACGCACACACACGCACGCGAACACATACACGCGCACACGCACACGCGCGCACACACGCACACGAACACACACACGCACGCGAACACACACACGCGCACACACACACGCGCGCACACACACACGAACACACACGCGCGCGTGAACAGACACGCGAACACACGAGCGTGCGCACTCAACAACATAAAGACGATCGCACACACACAGACACACGCGCGCCCTCACACTGTATAGAAGAACGCAAGAACGCACGCAGACACGCGCACACAGACACGCGCACACAGACACGCGCACACAGACACGCGCTCACACACCACGCGCAGACGCGCAAGAACACACAGGAACACGCGCACACAGAACACAACACACAAACACACGCCCGAGCAGGCGTACATACATACAACACGAAGATAACAACACCACACACGAACCACAACACACATAAACATACACACACAAGAACAAAGCCAAAGATCCCCCGTGTGACCTACATAGACGGCTAGGGCAAGTGCTGTATGCGAGCACACAGACACACAGGAACACACACACAGACACAGGAACACACACAAGAACACACCCACAGACACACAGGAACACACCCACAGACACACAGGAACACACCCACAGACACACAGGAACACCCACAGACACACAAGAACAAAGACACACGTAAGAAGACGCGCACCTGAAACACCACACAGCAGACGTACATACAAATGCACGGGCCCACACAGTAGTCGTACACAAAAGGACACACACACACACAGAGAGAGAGGCGAGGGAGGGAACGGGCACAGTGACGAGAAGAGCGAGAGAGAGCGGGAGTTTGTGAGATATCTGGAGAGAGACAGAGGTGGGAGAGAGAGAGAGAGAGAGCAAGAGAGAGAGAGAGCAAGAGAGAGAGGGGGGTGGGGAGAGCGACGGGTGGAGGCTAACGTTACTCACACGGCGCGGGCGGGACAGACACACAGACTCACCACGCGCACAGACACACGCGCAGACTCGCAATGGATAGGCTGCCACACGCAATGCGCAGACGCCTCTACAGCCTGCCCCAGCATCTGTGCCCCCGTGCCAGCCTCATTGACTGCGACGACGAACACACGAACAGCAGCCAGAACGAGCACCAGCAGCAGTCATCCAACGCGGCCGATCAACAGGGAGGTCTTTGCCCGAGCATCGGAGGGAGTGGCGGTGGCGGTGGTGGTGGCGGCGGCGGTGGTGGCAGACTCATTCGACTACGGACTCTTGCTTCGTCCACATCTCCCTCGAGCACCGGCGGTGGTGGTGGTGGTGGTGCGGCAACCACCGCCACAACAACAACAACAATCGCGAACACGATCTCGCCGGGAGTTGAGTCTTGCCGAGACGAGGACGAGACCAGAGTTCTGGTGGCCAAGTGCAGTCCCAACGGCGACTGCGCGCAGAGTCGCGAGAGCCTCGCGTCCGTGGAGACCAACTTCGGCAGCTGTCGATTCCTCGAGGACTCGGCACCGCAGGAATCATCCGACTCCAACAACGCGACCACCATCCGCTTCGCGGACGGGGCCATGAAAAGGTCGTCGAAGCGACGTCAACAGCAGCGCGTTGGTGGCTCACGAAAGGACGACTCTTTATCTTCGGAGCAGCAGCAGCAGCAGCGGAGGATGTCTCGTCGTGGGGGCAGCGGTGCCAGCGTCGGCGGCTCGATGTCTTTGCTCAAAGCGGAGGACGGAGGGCCGGGCGCGAACCTCGGTTCGACCTCCGCGGCGGGGGAAGACGTGGACCAGACTGGCAGTCAGAGCAGCTTCATGCACCGGCAGTTCAGCGCGATGATGCTGCCCGGCGTTAACAAATTCTCGCTGAGGATGTTCGGCAGCCAGAAGGCGGTGGAGAAGGAGCAGGAGAGGGTCAAGTTGGCCGGATTCTGGATCATCCACCCATACAGCGACTTCAGGTAGAGTCGGCACGGTGGCGGTTGGTGGCGGAGGTGGTTGTTGTGGTGGTGGAGGAGGTTGTGGTGGTTGTGGTGGCGGTTGTTGGCGGTGGAGGAGGTGTGTGTTGTGGTGGTGGAGGAGGTGGTTGTGGTGGTGGTTGTTGTGGTGGTGATTGTGGAGGTGAGGGTGATTGTGGAGGTGGTGATTGTGGAGGTGGTAATTGTTGTTGAGGTGGTGATTGTTGTGGTGGTGGTGGTGATTGTGGAGATTGTGGTGATTGTGGTGGTGGTGCTGGTGGTGATTGTTGTGGTGGTGATTGTGGAGGTGGTGATTTTGTAAGTGGTAATTGTTGTTGAGGTGGTGATTGTTGTGGTGGTGGTGATTTTGTAGTTGGTGATTATGGTCGTGGTGGTGATTGTAGTGGAGGTGCTTGTGGAGGTTGGGATTGTAGTGGTGACTGCTGGTGGTGGTGCTTGTGATGATGGTGGTGGTTGGTTGTGCTGCTGGTGATTGTGGTGATGGTAGTTCTGTTATTGCTATTTCTGCTGCTGGTGGTGTAGATGATTGTAATGATGCTGTTGGTGATTGTTGTAGGGATGGTGGTGGTCCAGAAGATGCCAGTGGTGGTGCTGGTAGTGATGGGGATAGTGAGGACTGGTGGTTGATTGTGATGTTGGTAGTCATGGTGGTAGTGATTGTGGTGGTAATAGTGGTTGTGCCGATGTTGTTGCTGTTGGTGATGGTGGCGAATGTGATGCTGGTGAGTGGTGGTGGTTGTGGTGGTGGTAATAGTGTTTGTGGTGTTGTTGCTGCTGGTGATGGTGGCGACTGTGATGCTGGTGAGTGGTGGTGGTTGTGGTGGTGTTAAGAGTGGTTGTGGTGTTGCTGCTGGTGATGGTGGCGAATGTGATGCTGGTGAGTGGTGGTGGTGGTAAAAGTGTGTGTGGTGTTGTTGCTGCTGGTGATGGTGATGGTGGCGACTGTGGTGCCGGTGAGTGGTGGTGGTGGTGGTTGGGGTGGTGGTGGTGATCCGGGCTCTTTTGCGTTGTTGCGAGGCAAGACTTGGCGTTGGTGGATCACGTGCAGATTGGCGTAACCTCTGAACCCCGCCCGCTGGGTGCATGGCAAGGTGACGGGGGATTAGCCTTGTTGACCGTACGGCAAGTCGGTTCGCGTGATCGGCTCTTTGAAAGCCGTCTCCCCCTTTACTGGGCATCTGTGTAAAAGAGCTTCATAGCTCATCGGATTTCTCCGGTACAAATACAGATTTCCGTATGCGATGCGATGGGGTTCCTCCGGGTTTTCCCCCGACAAGGAGCTGAACTCTGATGAACAATTTAACCGGCCAACCATCCCAATGTAGCAGGACCCCTTCCCGTGGAAATAGAGAGTCTTGAGACTCAGTGTTGCTCTCCTCGGTAAGTCGGGGCCAATGTTATTAAGTCGTAAATAGATTTATGCACTTATCAACCTCCAGGAGGGGGGGGGGGCTGGTGGGGATGGCTTTTGTCTGACTTAATGAAATCAGGCTACGTGTGTATTATTAACACACTGCTTTGGTCTGTTAACACAATAATCTCGACATTCACGCAACTTGACCGATGTGCGTTAAGCGACATTAGCTTGGAGGAGCTGAACTTACGGGGGTAGTTACGATAACTTAAGCCGTTAAGTTGCGAACGAGTGGTGGTGGTGGTGGTGTAACGATACGTGGAATTGTCGATTGTTAACAATTCTTAAGACTCAAACGATGGAGGCATTACGAATCGATGTGTGTTTTTTTTAATTTCTGTAAATTCTTATTCTGGTGCGATTATATAAACGTTGAGGTTAACGTGGTGCAAAAAAATGAGCCTATCCTGAAGTTTACGCGCTGTTCTAGGCGACTCATTTAAGGCTGAGTGGATCTAGAGGAATTGCCGGATGAGGCCCCGAGGTTGTCACTGGCCGCCGACGTTCAGCCAACTCGTTAATATCGATCCGAGGCTGCCGGGAACGCATTAAATACGAATACCGAACGAAGATTCCATCCGGCATGGACTTCAACAGACGGTTCGGGGCAAGTGCCGTTGGCAGGGCGCCTGTTAAGAACCGGCACGGCACACGAGGGGGAGGGGGGCTGGGTGGTGGTACGACCCCGCTCCCGGCCGCCTTTGTCTCCCAAATGATGATGTTTACACACCGGAGCCAGATACTCATTTGAGCGGAGTCCCAGGGTCCGTTCCAGTTGAGCTGAGTCACTAATGTCACTGCCACCCCCCTCACCCCCCATAGCCACGCACTGTAATCCACCCTGGCCCCCCCCCCTCACCACCCTGCCCCCCCCCCCCTCACCACCCCCCCCCCGCAAGTAAATCGGGTCGGAGTCGTGGGGGTTCGCGCTGCAGGCTCCCTGTGGGCCGTGACAACGCAGTGCCCCCCCCCCCCATACACACACACACGGACCCCCCTCTCTTCTCTCCCCCCCATTTCCCTTGTCCAGCCCCCCCCACCCACGGCCCTCCCACGCCCTCCCCTCTCCCCCCCCCCTCTCCCCCCCCTCCCCCCCCTCCCCCCCTTTCCCTTGTCCAGCCCCCACCCACCCACCACCTCTCGCTTCTCCCCCCCCCCCATTCTCCTTGTCCAGCCCCCCCCCACCCACGGCCCTCCCACGCCCCCCCCCCTCTCCCCCCCCCCATTCCCCTTGTCCAGCCACCCCCCCCCACACGCTTCTCCCCCCCCCACTTCCCCTTGTCCAGCCCCCCCCACCCACCCACCACCTCTCGCTCTCACACACGCGGTATTTTTAGACTCGCAATGTCAACCGCGGAATCGTCGTCTCGCCGCTAAAACATTGATGATGCACGGTGGAGGTAGCGGAGGCGGCGGCGCTGATGATGATGATGCGCGCGCGTGCGTGCGCGTGCGTGCGTTGTGGCGGGAGCGGTGGCGCAACGGTTAGCGCAGCGCGCTACGTAACCCGGGCCACACCGGTTCCGATTCCCGCTCACAGTCAACAACAACAGTGACCTTTATTCATGGGTGCTCGCTAACGGCACTTGCCCCAACAGTCTGCTAAGGCTATATGGGGGGTCTTTGCCTTTGTGAGTGAGTGAGGTGTGCCTGTGTGAGTTGAGGGGGAGCGGTGGTGTAGCGGTTAGCGCACTGCGCTATGAACCCGGCGACCCGAGTTCGATTCCCGCTCACGGCCAACACCGGTGACGATTATTTGAACCGGTCTTGGGCCTCCCCTAGGTCGACTCAGCCTCAAATGAGTACCTGGTGTGGTGTGTTAAGATCACCACTGGGGAGACAAAGGCGGCCGGGCGTGGTGCTAGCCACCCACCCCCTCGTATGCCGTGGCGGCCTTCATAGGTGCGCGCTAACAGCACTTGCCCCAACAGTCTGAGGGGGAGCGGTAGCGTAGTGGTTAGCGCTACGCTGCGCCACGGAACCCGGTGACCCGAGTTCGATTCCCGCTCAAGGTCACCAACACCGCTGACGATTTATCTGAACCGGTCCTGGGCCTCCCCATCGTTATCCTCAGATATTTGAGTAAGCGGTGCGGTGTGTAAACCATCGCCGCGCGGGGAGACAAAGGCTGCCGGGCGTGGCGTTGGCCACCCACCTCCGCTTGTGTTACTCGCTAACAGCACTTGCCCCAACAGTCTGTTGAGGTGGTGGACATGGAGCGGTGGTGCATCGCTTAGCGCACCGCGCTAGCCGCAGCGTTTGTGTTATCCCATCCTTCAAAGATCCGTCCCTCCTTCCACGTAAAACAATTTAATTTGGTTTATTTTTTACACATCACTTCAGCCTCACGGCTTTTTCTTTTTTTGCTTTAAAAAATACGTATTCATTTACTTCTGAGCACGCACAATTTCAGCAAGCAATTAGTTCGTTTCGATTTAAAGCTTTCGTGACGGCAGGGATTCATCTTCTTGTTTCTTTCGGTAAAGTCACGTAGAATGGAAACGAAACGTCGTGGAAATTATTATATTATGTTTTATTTTTTATTATTTTACTACTTCCATTCTACGTGACTTTACCGAAAGAACCAAGAAGAACAATTAGTTCGTGTCCAAACTTGCAAAACTCTGGGACCGGTCTCCGACATTCAGTAGTAGCTCATCAGCAACAGCAGAGCCGTGCTCTGCTTGCAGCAAATGATGTCGAACGGCCAGACGTTCATCGGCAAAGACTCTCTCACTCTCCCGTGAGACATCGCTCCGAGATCTAAGCAGAGTCCTACAACACAGCGCACAGAATAATGAATCGTCAGTTTGACGTTGCAACGCGCGCGTGTTGAACTTTCTTTCGCAGCCGCGCGTATCCAACGGTGCCAATCGAGCGTGCTCTGTGTCTCTCCGCATTCATCTCGCTGCTTGTGATCTCCACAAGCACGGGCGACGTTTAATAATGAGCGGCACTAACCAGTGTGGTGAAGTATGGTCAACACCCATGCCCCCCCCCTTCTCCCCCCGGGGCGAACGCCGAAATCCCGGCGGAGGGGGAAGGACTTTCATCCAGCAGTGGATCGCACAGAAGGAATTTGCATAACGAATGGGGGGGGGAGGGAGGGGAGGGGGAGGGGGAGATTTTCTGGTCCTTCGGCAGAGGTCGCAAACGGGTTTTGATTCCTTACCCGTACCCTGCCGCACCAGGGTCGCAAATGGGTACCCGTACCCGTACCCGGCCGTGTACAGGTACCCGTTCCCTACCCGTACCCTACCCGAAATGAGTGACAAACGGCTACTCACCAGTGACTCACAGCCTACCCATACCCGTACCCGGCCGCACCAGTCTCGGAAACGGCTACCCGTACCCAGCCGGGTACGGGTACCCGTTCCCTACCCGTACCCTACCCGAAATGAGCGACAAACGGCTACTCACCAGTGACTCACGGCCTACCCGTACCCGTACCCGGCCGCACCATGGTCGGAAACGGCTACCCGTACCCGGCCGGGTACGGGTAGCCGGGTATCGGGTAGGGTACGGGTATCGGGTACCCGGTTGCGACCTCTGTCCTTGGGACAATCCT